AGGCCAATCAGCATTTATGGTGAAAATTACCCCTCAGGTGAATAACAAAAAAAAAGAAACTGACGCTAAATGTGAGCATATTAGAAGCCAGGGAAGAGTTTTATGCAAATGAGTGACATATCTGATACTTTTTAAAAATGTGCCAGAATTGTTTCTTAATCACAATATAAGTGTTCCAATCTTTTGCTTCAAAATGTCCAATGGTTCCTGATGAATGAGGGTGACCACATGTCTCCAGTTTGCTGAAGTGATCAGTTCCTCTGTTTCTAGTGTAATTATAATAGACCTTCCCTTTTACTCTCACATGGGTCCTAGTGGGACTAATAATTACATGGTCAACTTACATAAAAATAAATATCCATTAGGTTGGACATTCAATGCATTTGGGAGACATGATATAACTCACGCTCTCTTCTTTCTTTTCCATCCACATCTTTACCTTGCAAGTGTTCTGGCCCACTTGAAATGTATGCTGGTAGTGTTCACAATGAGATATGGCATTTTCTGCTTCCTGTACCTTTTGCCCATGTTCTGCCCTTGCTGGTGCTGGTGTAAACAATTTCACTGCTGATGGCAGATCCTTGAGATCAACCCCCCAAGAAGCATTCCCAGAACTAGGCAGAATGAATGGTATCCTCCTCCGTATTTTTCGTCTATTATAGCATGTATCGTAAGGGGTTAATTATTTGTAGGTCTGTTTTCCCTTCTAAATGATAAGTGCTTAATGTTGAGGACAACATCTCCTTTTTATGTGTTTTTTGGGTCCTCATCACCCACCACCACTGCTTACCTATCTATAGCTGGTATTGATATTATGTCTTCTGGATGAATTATTTAATATAAAAGCAAAATGAAATATATAGTAAGCTAATAAAGTTGAACAATGAGATTTTAAAATGAATTTCTCTAGTAAGCTAAAACTTTATTGCATTCACACATAGACTATTTTCAGTCTCTATCTTCATTCCCTCCAAAGTCCAAAGTAGCCCCATTCATAGAAAGTGACGATAAACTTTTAATGAATGATTAGAAGTAAACGAGTCCTTATAGGGCAAAAAGAAGTCTAATTTTCAAGGAAACTAAACAATTTTATGCTTTGGTAATAAATTTCTAAATAATTATGCAGCTGAAATAACACGGTTTGACACATTACCAAAAGGCAATTTCATATACTCACCACTCTTAAATGATCCTGAACAAATTCTGCTCAGAAGAAGTTTCTGACGTAATTGCAGAACTTCAGCTTCCAAGGCTTCGACTTTTGATCTCCACTTTGACTCCTGCCCAGACACCAACACTGCAAGGTGTTCTGTGTATTCTCTGCTGCTTCTGTCTGCTGGTTTTGAGTGGATAATTGCCAAGGCCAGAGCCAGTTTTGAAGTTCTCAAATACCATTTTTGAACGTCCATTGTGGCTTTTGTTCCTATCATTTAATAAGAAAAAAAGTTACAGAAATTTCTTTTTATGTTTGCAGTGCATTTCATTTGTTCAAAATTGATTTTGTGGAGTAACACTAATTAATGTTAGTAATAAAACTTGGCACCAAGTAACAGAAAAAAAAATCTCAGAAACTAAAAACAGTATGAGAAAAATATGCAGAAGAAAACTGCATACACATGCATATTAAGTATGTTAAGACTCCAAATAGTAGGTTCAGCATCTTGACAATTTTGGGGAGTGCAAAAACACAACACTATTCATTTAGTCATTTCTAACCAGAGACACACACAGAATCTCTACACACACACACACACACACACACACATATACATATAGAGATGTATATATTTTATATATATTACTTATATATATTATATATATATTTGTTATATATATAAGACTTCTGCTAAGTCTTGGATTCCTTAATGGGTCTTTAATTGCTATTCCTGACTCTAACCAGCCCCCTCCAATATACATGGAGAACAGTCTTTTAAATATTTGAGCCATTTAAGTTGTGAGTCTGTTCTGATTCTGTTTCCAAAGATTTTTCAAATGCTGGCATGAACACACTTTTCCAAACCAACACTGTGTCATAGTCTTATAATATAAGGACATTTACGGGAACAACATGACAGACCACCACATTCTTTGGTTTAATATCATCATCCCTATTAAAGCATAATCCCCCTGTGGCCTCCCCCATGATTTATTACATTATCATGAGGGCTTTTCACATCAAATGTGCTAAGTAAAAAATTTTAATGAATAATTAAAAGAAAAATGGTGCAGAAAACTCAGGATTTTTGGTTGCTACACTTAATGTGCTAACACAATTCAAACTCTTCATCCCACATTTCAAACTTTATTTTTTTCAAAATTTCTCAAGCCTATTCTTCCCCTGTGGTTGGATCACAGTCAAACAGATGCATACAGTTCAGGTTCATTCTCATTCACATCTCTGCTCACAAATTTTCCCCACTTGTAATGTGCCTTGACTCTTTATAGTTGTCAAAGCACTGGTTGTGCACTCTTCAAAAAACCACTCATATACCACAATGTAACATCTTCTCAGATTTATTCCCACCCACACTGATGAATAACTATCTGATATCCTATAATTTAGCACTGAAAATATATAATCTAAAAGGTACCATAATGCTGTTTTATTATAATCAATGATGAACACAAAAATCTGTATACAATATGTTCATCACAGCATTATTTATAATATTGAAAACTGTGATTAACCAACAGTCAAGTAAATAATGGTATGACTATGCAAATGAATATTACTTAGTTATTAAAAATTAGATTTTCAGAGTTTTTTAGCATGCAAAATGGTTAATGATATGCTGAGGAAAACAAATAAAAACATAAAATCATATGTGCAATAGGACCCCAGTAATATGAAAAATGGGAAATATAAAAAATATAATTTATATCTAACTGTAGAATTATTGGTGAGTTTTATCTTATCTTCATTTCTTTATATTGTTCTAATTATCTGCAACAAACACATATCAAATTGTAACCAAAAAATAGGTTTCCAAAATAAAAGTACACAGCTTTATATTTTCACAGCTGTAGAATACACAAAGGACTAGATACTGTTAATATGGACAAACTTAATAGAATTACAGATCCACTTATTTTAGCTTTTTCAACAACCATTTGACTAGCTGGTTAATCCTCCATCTGTAGTCAGTGATGGGAGCAGTGGACTCTAATACTCATTACTATCAGAGAAGATCCTAAGTGCAGAACAGAGACACATGGTCTTCGAGACCCACCCTTAAGAAGTTAAGCCCATTAGTATATACAACAGTACTGATTTTAAAAAAACTCAATCTATTCAAAGGTGTTTCACTTAGAAAAGAATCTCACATTCAATTATGAATGGTGGGAATCAAGGCTAAAAGAAAAAAACTAGAAAACAGTTTATTAGCACAAAAGGACAAAGTTCTCTGGATAACAAAAACACAGGAGACTCCTCGTCACCCTGCAGAGATGTTTAATTAATTGATTTAAACAAGATGATAAATTAAATGTTTTGATTTTAAAGTCATTATATATGATTTGTAAACAATCTTAAAATCATGTTGAATATCAGCTATAGAAAGAAGTTCAAATTATAAAGTTCTTCTAGATTGTAACCATATCAGGGTCACTTGTCTGAACATTAATTAGAATTATACCACACATGAACAGAAATGATTGCTAATAAAGATGTTTAGCACATCGTGGTATAAATCACATTCGAAACACACATAGAACCACAACATACAACCAAATAGAACCAGATTTTTTAAACTGCTTCTTTATGTTTTGTTTATGTTTGTATGTGTGTATATGTTTACAAATATGCCTTTTTAATTTTAGGATAGGATTTCTATTCTCAAAGTGTCATTTGCAAAATAAAGATAATTCTGTGTTCCTAATATTTCATGGAAGAAAAGTGAGCTTCTATGATATATTAAAAAATATATATTTAGCCTTTGTCCCTGGTTCCTGACAAACTTAATTTTTTAAGTGGAGAAGATTATTTTGTTCTAATGAGGTTAACTCTTGAACAGGCACTTAGACACTTCAGGATGAACACTGGTTGCCAGAAGAACAACCATAATCAAAAGCTTGGAACTTTCAGTCTCACCCCTCAACCTTTAGGAAAGAAGGGGGACTAGAAGACTGTGTTAAAATGGATCATGCTTTTCTGATGAAACCATAATAGAGACCCCTAAACAACGGGGTTCAGAGAGCTTCTGGGTTGGTGAACACGTCAAGATGTTAGAAGGGTGGTACACCCAGACAGGGTTGTGAAAGCTTTGTGTACTTCCCCCTAGTAAGTGGCGCTATGTGTCTCTGCCATTTGGATGGTCCTGAGTTGGATCCTTTATAGTAAACTGTAATAAGTAGAGTGCTTCCTGAATTCTGTGATTTATTTTAACAAATTATCAAATCTGATGAGGGGGTTTGGGGAATCTTTGACTTTACGAGTCAAGCCAGATGGAGTACAAGTAATCTGGGGACCCAGTGCTTAGAACTGGCATTTGAGTTGAGGGTAGTCTTGTGGAACTCCCTTGAAATGTGTAGAGTCTAATGCCAATTCTAGTTGGATAGTGTCGGAATTGAACTGAATTGTGTCACACCTAGTTGGTGTGTGAGAATCAGATAATCGGTTATTGCTATTAGAAAACACCCTCCAGCTGCCTAAAGATATTTCTGCTTAATTGAGGAAAAACAGTAGTACTTTCAGAAAGCATTTTATATTTAATTTATGCTCAATAATTATAGTAAAGAATTAAAATGATCATTTATGCTCCCACCAAAAAGTATGCAGTGTCTTTGAATTCTTAATAGCTTAAAATATGAAAAATTAAATCTTTTTAGAACAGAGCCAGTAGTTTTCAAATAGCTTTCTTTTTCTTTGATTTTGGAGAGTCCTTAGCATAACATGAAGCTGCAGAAAATCCAGTCACGTTCCAAAACACCCTGGACTTTCCTCAGGAAAGGCATGCAGAAATAACCACTCTGCAAACACTATTTTGGCAAATTTTATCTGCAATATTTCTCCTGCCTCATTTCCCCTTATTTAACTTAATTTGCGATCGACTAGACAATTCAATGAACTGTCAGAAGTGTTTTGAATTATAATCCCCAAACCTAAAGTTAGTTTATCTCTGAGATCACTGATTAAATGTCTATGAAGAATAAGGCCCCAGATCATTCCTATGAAAGACTGGTGGGAGTTTAAATTGGTTAAGCATTCAGGAGATATTTTCCT